CACTGTAGAAGACCAAGGCACAGCAGCTGCTTTATGTAGTTTAAGGTCCCAGTTCAGCACACCACAGAGACCTCAGATCCTTCAACGGGACTTCAGTTCCTTTCCCTGAGCTACCTATGGAATAGGGGAGATTACTCACAGCCATAAATCTTCTGCCACATTAAGATCTTCTGTCACCATTAAGATCCCCACTCCTGGAAGAGGATTCAAAGCACAGAACAGCCCACCCAAACTTTTCCCTATATCACAGGGGACGAGTTCAGCATCTCAAAAATCTGTGTGCACAAGGAAGTATCTGAACATCCACCTTCTTTTTACACTCAGGTTCAGCAGGTAAATCCATAAGCAGGTACTTTATTTCCCCATGGGGATTCTTCTCACGAGGACAAACAGATTTTGAACGACAGAGCAGGGCTCAGGCTTTCTCAAGCCACAGCCAAGAAGCATGGTAGATTTGATCGAAGAGGAGCTTAAAAACTGGAAAACAATATTGGAAGGACATGGGATCAGTATTTACCCTCAGCTCAAGGGAGAGCAAAGCCCTCTCCCCACGAAGGGGAAATCTCACTTTAATCTTGAAGGGGAAATCTTACTTTAACCTTGTAATTAAAGTCCTTATGAGGCCTAGTTTCCAGCTGCAAGACTATGCACTTCTTGGCACTGGACATAGGAAAAGGGATGAGAAAAGCCAGGCTGCCTCCCTCTCAGTTTGATCTGCAGAACCAAAGGGTTATCACAGTAAGATACAACTCCATTTCATCTCATTTCTGCTGTACACTCAAATGAAAAGACTGACACCTCCTATCAACAAAGCAGAGCTGATCCCAAGCGAGACAAGAGCCTGCAAGTGGGCCTAGATTGCTGCCACTGCTGAGCAACACTTGAGACATTTGATAGTGCCCTTGAAAGCTAAGAGGTTTGTAGTGGGGTGACCCCATCAGCCAAAGAAACCAGCCCTAACAAATATTTTAAAGGTGATTCGTGTTCACTCTGACCTTTCTGGCTTGACTTATCCATCAAACTGTTTTTCTACCCATCAGAGAACAAAGTTCCCCCAGGAAGTGCAGTTTCCACACACTAGCTCCTAACACATACACTAGGCCTCAGCTAAGGCCATCTCCTGCCACCATGAACCTATCAGTCTATCAAGAAAGATCTCTGTTTTGGGTGAAGTTTATGAACTGGGGGTAAGACGACGTGCAGAGCTCCAGTTATATCTTCAAATCCCCAACTGAGGGCAATCAGGATTCTGACCTCAAGACACAGTTTCTACTGCAGATCAGGCATTTCTGTTGCTGTTATTAGAGGTATTAGTTGCCTTTGATACAACATTGATCACCTGCAAACCATGGTGGGAATAGACAAGGCAGCTCTTCAGTGGGTTCTGTTTTATATCTTTCTGAGAAATCCCACAAGGAAGATAAGGAAGAACACATTTGCTTCTCCCACTATCAAGAAAATCTGCTGCACACTCCTCACCACACAGAACACACAGTAAGACATTTGGGGTGGCAGCGAAGAGAAAGCAAGATCATTTATAATTTTGTTTCATTAGCCTCTTTTAAAATGTGTAATTTTGCTTGGTAGTGATAAGTGGGATGACAACATGAGACCTGCAGCAGATGTGCTAGCCCGTGGCCATTACGCTGTGACATGTACTGCTGTTTTGTCTATGTAATTACTGTAGGGTTATATTAAACAGCTCTTGAAGTAAGACACACCAAGTTTTGTTCAGTGCCAAACCTGCTTTACTCACCTCAGACTTTATAATCACACGGCCACTGACTGCACCTGACTGACTTTAACACCCAGAGTGCAGGGGAGAAAAATAAATTAATAATAATAATAAAAAAGCAGTACATGCTTATACACTTAAAACCTGAAATACTGCGGAGACCCTGAAAGTAATGAATGCTCCTCCATCTATCCAATCTGCCCATTTTCACAGTGCAGCCCATGCTGCACTGAAAAACTCCTGAATGCAACAACCACCAAGGAAATCTGCTATTCAGGTCACGCTTGCTTTTCCCTATCAATGGCCTGAATGCAGAGAACAATATATCTAGTAGCATAATAACGGAGGCTCAGTATAAAATTGCTTTCATTAGCATGTCAAGTGTTTATTTTCGCTTACTGCAAAACAAGCTCCTCACACACAGCCGCTTACTGGACTCCCCTTGATTGCAGAGAGGGCAATAACAAAGGAACCTGCTTTCCATGCCCTTCYGTGGAGAATTTCACATGCACCAGAAGGATACTGCTCCATTACCTCCAACCAATGAACCAGCTTGGCATGAGGCAGCAAAATACTGCTGCAGAAGTATTCCTGAGCACAGTGGAATAGTTTTCACAGGCTGCTGCAAAGGGCATGTGTATGAGGGTGGCAGGAAGCTGTGAGAAGAGCAAGTAATATTCTTCTTTTCCGTCTAAAATGACACTAAGATTTAAGTAAAGGGAAAATAAAAGCCATTCTTTCTGCGCCCTGGCGTGTATTTGCTAAATATTTTATTTCTAGTCATGGCACCAAGGGGAAAATAATATCATGCATTAAATGCAAGTATCTTTGGGCTTGCTTTTATTACTAAAAGCTCTCTCTCTCTCTTTTTTTTTTTTCCCTTTAACTTGGGGTAACTAAAGCATATGAAGCATCCCAAGGTTAAAACGTAGTGAAGACAAAGTGCTTCAGTTTTACCATGAGGAAAATTCAACACAGTTGACCTCAGGCAGAGCTTGAGTTTTATTTCAGAGTGCTTACATGCATTAGCTACTCTGAAGATAGAAATAACTAAATAAATAAATAAAAGGGAGTTTCTTGGAAAGAAAGGCAAACCCCAGCCTCAATAAAAATATTCAGTTCTGGTTCATGTCACTTATTGACATCTTTCCTAATCTTCAAGGCTCGCCATTAAAATTCTTTTAATTAGGCAGAAACCGCAGCCTAGTCAGTAATGAGAACAATAGAAATGAAACTCTCCTCTCAGACAAACACRTGCAAATGCCACCAGCTTACATGGAAATGACTCACAGATGTGTGACACAAGGCCCYGGCCACTTTGCAGCTTTATGGGAATTCAGTATCTGCAGCTTGATTCCTCTTCACAATGGAGGTGCCGCTAATTCCATGGAATCCTGATGCAGCTCCCCACAGCAAACACTTTAAATCCCTTTTTTTCCCCCTATCACAACATCTCTCCAGTCTAACTTTGTGCTTTCCATCCTAAATGTTATATGCCTGATTTTCGCCTAGGGAGATGTGAACTCTGCCGCCAGGTAGATTAAAGTCTGTGGTGGTGACTAAGTGCCTGAGCTCTGCACCAGCCAAACCAGTGGCAGAGCATCTCATTCAAGGCATGCAGGTGTTCTGCAGCTCAGGTGATGCAGTCCTGCTCCCTTCACCCTCCCCACATTCACTTGTGCTCCACAAGGAGACCTGCAGGTCAGCAGGAAGCCTGTTGGGAACCGTCAACCAGCTGACCGTATCTAGTAAACCACAGAAACAGTGGAACAACATCAGCTCTTTTTCCAATTGAAAGGAAGAACCTGCAGTTCTGCAGCACTTTTTTTTTTTTTCCACTGGTATGATGATGGCTTTTAGTCATGTTCCAAATAAAACTACACCATAAAAGCTATTGCTGTTTGCCCCATTGAGGAACAGGGAAAACGACTCCACTGGATGTCTCTCCCCTATGATGCTGCACACCATTTAGCTTGCCTGCAAATCGGTGTGCARTGTGTCCCCATGAAGTTCACTAATCCAAACACAAAGTGGGTATTTTAATTTCAGCTGGGTTTAGGGCAGCATTAAAAGAAGGAAGACTGGGCAGGATGAGATTTCTTGAGTCTCCCCACACCTTCCGGGCGATGACAGGTATTGCTTTAAGTACTTGYCATTAACAACCAGTCACAATGTTAGTGACAGGATGTTACTAGCAGTTACTTAACATGATAGATGTTAACATTTTTCTGCTCTTTATGACTCACACTATATCCCAGCCAGAGTATTTTAGGAGCTGACTGCACAGCACCAGGTCAAAATGAGGAGGATCACGGAGCAACGGGCRGAGGTGCAGAATGAGACATGTCATTTTGGAAACATTAGGTCAAAAAGTAGCCACGATAAGAAGGGGAACTGGATTCAAGATTAAGGTTCTTCCTTTTAACTGTCTCACACKAGGGGAATCCTCCTGCACTTGGGCATTGGCATTTTGCTCTTGCACACAGACAGGACCAACATGAAAATCCGCACCATGAATATTAGTCTTTGATGTTAACATCTTCTAACAACTCTCCCAGTGAGATACATGTTATGAAAAGACACTTTGCTCCAATTTTAGAAGCCTGGGGACTGCATTACCTCTGCACACATGGACTAGCTGCCCGGTAAAGACTCAAGTACAGGAAAGCACCCTTTGTAGAACAAACTGTAAGCCTAAAGCTTCGTGTCTTTAATTTTCAACCACTGAGAGATGTAATACGCTATAAGATCTGGAGCCATAAAAATCTGGAGCCATAAAGACCATAATTGAAGTGGAAACACACATAGTAAGGTTTTCCCATAGAAAAGGAAAGCGTGAATTTTATTGTCCTGTGAATTGCTGTAGGTGRTTTGATTTACCTGACCAGTTTAACCAACCAAACAGAATATGACCTGAGCGCTGCACAACAYGCATCACATTTTATACTATTAATTATATGAAGTCAGAACAGGTTAGAAGTAAACCAGCAACAATTTTCCATTTCATATCAGCAATATTCAGTAGCCTATAATAGAAAAATAGCATTTGCAATTCTGAATCTAACTTGAGGGGAAAAAATACTTTAGAAGAATTACAGTCTCATGATTTAGTTCAAAAGATACTTTTCAAGTGTGTATGAATAACATTCTTACATGAAAGTGTGCTTTGCTGGCTTTCTTAAGAATTCAGAGTAAACCTTTCCCCCCGCAAAAAAAAAAAAAGAAGGAAAAAAAAAGACTTTAAAAAGATGCCAGACCCAATTACCTTCAGCATCCTTTTGAAGGTCATGAGATTGCTCCGCTTTGCACGTTGTGGGAGATGGGGGCTGGCCTTTTGGCTCCAATCCTTCTTTAAGCATAAACATATATTAAACGTCTTATTTTCAGATTGTATCACCACACATATCATCATGACAGTGCAACCATGATCATTTTTTTTATCTCAGCACTTTATTCAATGCCTGATGCTTACCTTTGTATACCCCAAGTTAATCAGGGTATCATTTGCTATATAAAAGGAATTCTTTAGTTATCTTGCAGTTTAGGCTGGATTCACTACCTAACCTTCATAGCGTAKCAGTGAAGAAAGCTCATACTAAATGACCCACTTCTTCACAATCTCTTGATCACTTTAGTAAAAGAAAATTTAAAAGGAATAATGTTCTAATTTGCAGTTTTTAAGAGAGTATATATTATACATCATTATGGAGCCTTGGAGAAATAATCTGAACAAAATTATTTTTTATTCCCAGCTCAATTCTCCATTCAAAATTACAATATATTAAGAAAGGAATATTGACAGAAATCAGTAATAAAATGAGTGGTAGGGAAGGAAGTTTAATAATGAATTAAAGCTATAGAAATGAAAGTATTAAAAAGTAGAAATGTTCAGATATAGAAAAAAAATATATCCAACTTCTAGCCAGACATAAGCTGGCAGATGATGGCAAAAAAAATCCTCTCAAGTAAAAGAGTAACTGAGGCCAGTAAACTTTAAGAGCACACCTAGTCTCAGCAATTTAATTATAGCATTTAAAATCAACTGATTAAACAAAAGAAACGTTTTTAAAGTAACTTGTCACATCAACAACCTTAATGTAAGGCACCAAATTATTACTTGGTTTTTGAGAGGACCTTATCACAAAGTGACAGCAGAGCAGGAAAGCAGGCGGAGTTGGAAATTTATCATAAAAAAAACAAGGCTTATTTAATTAGGACATCTAATTAAGTGAAAACACACTTCAACAAAGCATATACGGAAGTAAAAACCCGCAGAACATCAATCTAACACTGATGGTAACCATAAAGTACACAAAAAGAGGAGTGAGAAATTCAAATGTCACAAAAAATTGCCTACATTCTGTGAGAGATGGAAACTGGGAGGGTGATGTTCAAGCTCATGCACTAATGATAAGTTAATTTGGACCAAATCACATAGTAATAGCTGGAAAAACGGACTCCAAAGTTTAAACTCAAATGTACAGGAAATCTTGAATATTTATAGCCAGAAACTTAGGATGGGATATGACCTTGCTTGATTTAGCTCCACTGCCAAATCATGAGCAAATAAGTCACAGCTAATTGGCAAATGAAAAAAAAATGATACTACACACAAATTGTAAATTGCTTATGTGTTTTGAAAACTAACATAAATACACCACAAAATCATTTGTCCTGGATGTCTGTGAATAGGTAAACCAGCAGCCAGATGCCCAGCTCTCATAAAGTACCTAGTTCAGCTCAGAGCAGAAGATACTAACTGTCAATATCCACCTTCTTCTCTTCTACAACTGCGTGCATCTTGGAAMAAAAAGCTAAAAGTTTCTAAATACTGAGTCAAAAATAAGTAAGGATATAGAAAAGGAATTGATAGTATCAAGGAGAATCCTGTATCCTTTCAAAAGACAAAAAGGGAACGAATGCTGGGCTTCATAAAGAGCCCAGAAAACCCAGAACTGCTCTCTGTCCATCTTCTGGGGAAACTGCCTATTCTTTTGTGCTTAAATCTTAAAACAAGATTGTCTGGATTGGAAACTGGCAAGAATTTACAGAAAGCAACAGCTCAAAACGTCAAGACACTTTCCAAAACGGAGATTTTTAAGTGAATAATTGAATTTGACTTATTTAATTTTAAGGAACAAACCGCATTTCACTCAACAAAAGCCAAAATGAATATAGCTCCTAAAAATGTCTCCTAGCACAGAATTTGTTTCATTATAGAAYGCCATATAGTTCAGGGTAGGAGGGATCCACACTGATTAGCAAATAACTAATTTACTGCAAAACAGCCGTGCTTTGAGGTTTGGCTTGGTATCAGGAAATAAACCCTTCCTACAGCATGTAACATTAGTGCATCTTCATGTCATCACATTTGTTCCTCTGCACTTGAAATTCACATACAATATTTTGAGGGAAACAAGAGTTTTCGAATGCTAGAATTGATTTATTTCTGGCCCAGTAAGCATGCAAAACTAACCACAAGAAATGCAGTGGGGGAAAAGAAAGTTTCAAAAAGAAGAAGAAAAGAAAACAACACGCTTTGCAACTCTTCAAAAAGATTACTCAAGAGTAATGGTGATGTTCAACAAGGACTTCAATTCAAATGACAGAAATCCTGAAAATACCTGAAAATACCCATGCTCTTAAAGATTAATTCCTGCCAACGTTGCCCTATTCATTTAAAAAATAACTTGAATATTTAGAATGGACCGTATTGATGTGTGGTTTCTTCGGTTCTAATGACACCTTGCACTACCTGCTATTTTCCCCTTTTTTTTTTTGGGTGACAACGATTCACTTCAGGAAACAAATAAATAGGAGAGTTTCAATCAACATTCACCCCTGTGATGATGAATTTTATCATCTAACCAATCTGTGAGGCTTTCTCCAGGCCCACAAGTCAAATGTCAATCAAGTTTAAGTGCAAGTGTCCAGCCAGGTCTTTCAGGAGTATCTGAATACTTTAGATAATATAGCCAACATCTTAATTAACAGCACAAAGACAGAGAGGGAGGGGGGGTTATATTCAGAGAGGTCAGAACTGTCACTATTTCAAAAGAAATGGTCTTTGTGCACTTTACAGAGAACCTTAAAACGCTCACAAAAGAATTTAGAGGCACAGTCTCAAGAGAATAAGATTTCAATCACAATTTCATTGCTTTTTTGCAGATTTCCCTCATTCCAGACAAAAAAGGGATTTTTGCAGGCTTCAAAATAATGTCTTTTTACAATGGCCAAGATGTAACTCTTAACCCTTTCTGTTCTACAGTAACATGGACATTTCCTTCAGAACAGTTAATCAAGTATTATAGCAACACTGTTTGCAGATTTCTGTTTAAATTCTAGACCAGAGTCTCAACTGATTGAATTCAAAGCTTTCATAATTGTGACCATCCATACAAAAAGGTTTCTGAGCTGTTAGATTGTGAGAAATTACTTTCTTATAGACTAATCTGCACGGTCAACAAGTCACTTGAACCCTAGAGCGCATCTCAAAACAAGCTCTTCCCCAAACCCTTCCAAGTCTCAGTAGTTACAAGGGCTTCTCATTTAATTCTCACTGAAAGAGGAGAAACTCTCCCACCAAAATGAAGTGTCCAAGAGTGTGTACCTAGTAGAACACACACAGAAATAAAATATTTATACAACCTCATTTAGAGCAGAGCTTTTACTATTTGGTGCTGCTGTCCTAGCCGGTTGCTATTTTTGACGTAACAAATAAGTGGGGAAGTAGTATGCTCTGGAGAGACACAGGATAACCATAGCAGGGCATTTATTATGAATGACTATTATATATGTCATATATATCATATAGTCATATATAGATATATATATGACTACAGATGGGAAGAAAATGGCAATGGGACAACCGTATGAGGTTGGAAGGCTTTGCTGCCAGGGCAGGATGAAGCTGTTGAGGAAGAATATAGATTCCAAATTCAAACACTCTTCTATGTGCGTATTCTTTTTCTTTTTTTCTTTTATTTCTTTTTCTTTTTTCTTTTTTTCTTCTATGTGCATATTCTTTTTCTCCTTTCCTTTTTTTCTTTTTCTTTATTTTTTTTTCCTTCTTTGAATAGTATGAGCATTAACTTATGTCAGTGCATAATGATGCAGTATTATTGTGCAGGAATCTGGACTACGCTGCTCATAATAGCACAAGCTTCCATAATTTCCAGATGCAATCACTGCAATTGGACACACAATTATGACAGTATTAGGGGTTATTTTGCATGGTTATGAATCCATGGGTATAAAAGCCAAGTCCTTCAGAAGTTAAAGTTTAGAATAATCTTCCCTTAATGGAGCTTAAAACATTAAGCATCATCACTCTGCAATGTTAAATCACTGAAGTTAAAGTAGACAAGACTAGGAGGTCATTTGGTCCTTCCCTTTGAGAATATCGTTCACAAGAACGATATTCAAGGAAATGTGAGATGTAAAACTGCAGAAGTCTGTACTTGTTATTGCTATATCTGCCCTTTTGACTTAAACTATTCTAACAGCAAACTACGAAATGTGGTAACACCAAAGCACTTTGAACTAAGTGGCATGGTTGTGTTAGCRGCTGCTGTTAGATAGAGCACTCAGAATAACAAACTGAAGAATTAAATTCCCATGAGTTTAGATGCCATCAAAGGAGGGGTCTTGGATATGGGTATTTAATAAGACTACGTTATTCTTATTTTGTAATTATTTTTCCTATTCTAGTATGCCCAAAATAGGCAGTAACATTATGTGATTAACTTATTAAAATAAACATCTGTGCCTGATGATTTTACAGTATTAATATAGATATTAATGGAGAGTATCTGGTAGACCAGCAATTATGATTTTTTTAAGCAAAATCATTAAAAAGAAAGCCTTTTTTTTGAGTGTAATAAGATATTTGCACTTCAGAGTGGTAGAAACACAAGACAGAAATCGCTCCCATGATGTGTCCATCACTCAATAAAACGCGCATTTGGTCATCTGGTATTCTTTACTCTATGCTAATTCTCTAGGTGTTCCCAAGGCCTAATCTAGTGTCTGCTGAAGTCAATGGACATATTCCCACCGACTTCAGCTGACGCCAGGATCGCTTTCTTCTTTGGCTAACTCTTGCCACCAGGTTTTAATTAGGGTGGATTCTGTAGTCTCTGTTATTCCACTACATTTTCCATACTGAAATTGGCACAGATCCAGTCAGGCTCCATCACACCTGACTCCCTGTGCTTCCCCACGTCTTCTAGCTATCAGCCCTTCAGAAGCACCTAAACAGCAGGAAGGAGCAGGCACAGGAACTCRGATGAAATTTAGAATATTTCAGTGTCTCCAAGGTCACCCACTTAGTGTGGGTTATATGCACTCCAGGAACCTATCATTTCTTTTTATTTTCCCTTTGACTACAAAGATTTGACTACAGGTTGGATATGAATAGCTCACCAATCCCGAATCATCAATATTGGTGCCAACTGCTGATTCCATCTGCTGGAGTCATGGCCCATGAAGTCAAGTGGAATGAAGAATGACTATTCAATTAATATCTTGCAGTGATGACTGCAGGTTGGACTCTGTTTTCCCCTCCTAGCAGTTCAAAACAGTTATCTTTCAGACTGATAACCATCTTAATACAAAAATGAAAACTCCCCTCAGTGCAGGGATGTATTTGTAACTTCCTGCAAATGTATCTGACAATCACTAAAAGATCCCTTCACAAAGAGGTCTGAAGAACATAACTCCATGCTACGAGAGTAAATACACAAAAGGTATTTCACTTTGGCTGTATAGGTATTGATTGTTGCCAGTCAGTCCACTGATTCCTAAAATATTTCCAAAAGACAGAGATGGCCAATAGAAGCTGTTGAAGTTTGCAGCACTACAGCACCCTACAGGCCAAACTCTGAGAGAAGCTCTGATGTCCTCTGTTTCATACACAAAAAAGCAGATATGCAATGAAGTATCGTCCTCAAATGACTTAATTCAAGGATAATTTCCCAGAGCAGCTATGTAGCTTTCACCTAAATTAATGAAGCTGTGAGGGATGCAAGGCAAGAGAGAAGTGACTGTATTAAGAGAAAATATACTTCCTTGGAATTTTAATTTAAACGGCTTTAAAAAATAAACAATGCAATTTGCATAATCTCCACAAAAGCACCAAAAGAATGCAAAGTAATTGGATTTATAAAAATATACATGCCATGATAACTGTAAAAAACAAAATTGGAAATGCTAGAAGAATACTGCAAATTCTACTGTATATTCAGCAAATGTTTGTCATATAGTTGCAGTCTTCATTTTTCTATTTTAATGTGTGTAACTGCAACTATATCAATCACATTAATCACATATTAAAATTAAAATTTCTAAATTCCTATCCTTCAATAACCCTGACAGCAAAAACACCACGGGTAGTGACATCCACATGCCAGGTCAGCCATAAAAGACTGCGCTAACTCATCAGTTATCTACCTGTGTATATCCATGTTTACATACCCGTGCATATAAATCATTATTCAAGAACTTCACAGGCTAGTTAACTGCTTGCGTAAATCATCATAATCTCTTTTGTCTTTAGGAGAATCTTGCCAATTTAACCAGCAAACATGCTGATTCAAAAGCTTTAATTGCTCTTTGCTGGCTGGCCTATTTCTGCCTTTTTCCATGTTGCTCTCCTATCAGATCTCATGGTCARTTGTGGGGCCCATAGTGTTCAGTACCTCCAACAACTGGTATGAAGAGACTAAACGTACTCTCAGAAAACCTGCAGATGATACTCAGTTATGGGAGGTGGTTTACATGCTGAACAGAGGAGTTGCAGTCCAGAGGGAACTGAGAAACGGGAAGACTGGRCCACCAGAAACCTCATGAAGTGCAACAAGGAGAAGTGCTGACTTCTGTCTCTGGGGTAGAATAACCCTATGCAACAATCACTACAGGTTAGGAACTAACTGGTTGAGCAGCAGCCCTCCTAAAGAAGTTTTAGGAATCACAAGGCATACAACATAGAGTTCAAGCCACATTGCAGTAAGAAAGCTACATATCAGGCAAATTTTAGTGTAGTCAGCAGGGTGAAGAAAGATACTCTCCCTTTCTGCTCTGCACTAGTGAAGCTGTACATGGAATACCRTTCCCCATTTTCCGCTGCCCTGTTCAGGAGGGATGTCCAGAAACYGGAGAGGGCCCAGCAAAGGCCTATCAACGTAAGTCAAAGGCATAGCAAACACAGGCTTCAGGAAAAATTTGAGTGAGCTGAACCGGTTGAACCTAGTAAAGAGAACGTTGAGGGAGAATCCTACAACCAGGGCAGGCTACAAGTAGAGGAGAGGAGTTGTACTGATTGAGCAAAACTCTTCTCTGTAGATGGCAGATGATACAATATGAGGTATATGCCACAAGTACCTCAAGAGGTTCAGACCAGATACTAGGAAACTTTCACTGTATGAGTAGTGCAACACATGAGAAAGTAACCTAAGAGATTGTGAGTTCCCCATCCTTGGAGGTTTTTCAAGGCTCAATAAGAAAGCCAAGACAAGACATTGTCAAGACATTGTCTGCTGTTAATGACAGGCCCTCCTCAAGGTGGAAACGGGACTAGGTGACAACCAGGAGCTTCATCCAGCCAACAGGTTTATGACTGTCATCGTATCTATTTCTCACTCCTTCTTCTCCTTGTTCCTTTTTTTTCCCCTCATCCCTCACTTCTATCCATCTATTTTAGGACTATCCCTATTTGTTTAACATATTAACATGTGTTAAAAGGCAAACTAGGAGGACCAGAAAAAGGAGAAGAGAGGGGGAAAAAAAAAAAAAAGAAAAAAGCTTTCTGAAACACTGTCCATGAAGTTCAATATATTTAACAGTTTGTTAGAAAGTTTTGCTGATGTATTCATTGCACATAAGTCATGGTCACTAATTACAATTGCAAATGACTCAAGAATTACAAGGTTCACACCTTTCTAAAGGCAAAGGCACTACAGAATTGTAATTATTTCCCATTTATGTTCAAGTTAGTTATTAATAAAAAGAAACTCAGGGGCTCATATCAGATGCTGACATTAAAAAGTTAGTCTTAGCTATTTTAATCTAATTCGTTATCAGAAATGGTTACTGTGGTAACTGTTAGCAACGAATGATTGGCATTGCTCATTACAACCAGGGCAATTAGTCTTAAGAACTCTCTGTTGGGCTGATGCTTAGCAGAAGCAATATGTTTTAGCATAAAATATTATTTACTCACCTGTCTCTTCACGCATCTCAGTTTCTTCTTCATTATCATCATCTGTCAAAAAAAAAAAATGATTAATGAGGCTAGCAGAAAACATATAAAATATAATATTCAATGCTTCAAATTGCTCATCTCTTAGGTTACCTCCTCCCATTGAACATCTCATAATGACATGTGGAGGTGGATGGGAGAAGAAGGGTTTAAAATTAGAGGAAATGAAGGGAATAAAGACACAGAACAAAATTCTGTCCTGACTTGCATAAAATCAGACTGTATTGTCTTTTATAACACATTTTTTTTTTCTGTTTTAAAAGTAGAATGGAACCTGGTTAAGTTGCCAAGGTTCAGGGTCCTTTGTTTCCTGAGAACAGCTGAAAATGTTAATAGTAGTAGTTATTCAGAAAAATTATACTAAAAAAACTACTATAAATTTACCAGAGACGATTTCGGTTTAAATCCAAACTTAGGCTAGCCAAGAATTGAAGGTTTTTGATTATTAAGATGCATTGGGTCTTAATAAAGCAGGTTCCTTTGGCAAAAAGTTACTTGGTGGTAACAAAGGAATCTCTTAGCACCAACTGTTTTGCTGAAAAAAAAGATTAGCTCTAATTACCATCTTGCTCATTCAGCTTAACCATGAACTCACTAATCATACAAATTTATGACAACTACACTTCTAACTCATACATACTCCATTTATTCTCTTTTAAACGGATTTGAGCACGTGCAATTTCTGTAGCCAGCCTAGAACTTTTGTTCAAAGCATAACATGTTTTAATCATGGSTTTGTGCAGATTTTAACCCCCTTTGGTATAAAAAGTTGATCTTGTAGCATCATGATCAACTGTATTGGAAAATAACAATAACACTTAAGTCCTGATCTACATGATCAGACCTTTACATTGTAAAATCAAGAGATCCAGATGCTGTGACACACACTATGAGTATTGAAGGCCTGCTTTCATGGAGATTTGGAGCCCAAAATATTTATTTTTAATCAGAAAAAGAAAGGATTTCTTTGTTAGTAGCAGAGACCTTCACTGGGATTTATATTTGCACTGCAGCTACAAGCACTAAAATCATGAATTTGTGAATATTCCTGGTGACCTGTGAAACAACATAGGATGGATCTGCATCTATCCTTGTCCTCCTCCTATCACATTCAAACATGGTCTGGAGAGCAGACCGTGGAGAACATGGTCTGGAGAGCATGTTTCAGGAGCCACTAAATGACAGGAGGTTACATTTCTCTGGAGTGCCCTTTAGTCCTGCATGAAGGATCAGGTTTGAATCAAGTCACTGAACACTCGACTTGCTTTTGCATTACTCTGCAAACAACTGCCTTGGGGTTCAACAAGGCACATCAACTCCTACAGTATGATTTTGTATCCCATCAGGAGATTGGATACAAAAAGAGAATGAAAACTATTGTTGAAACCAATGGGAATTGGGCCACTGACTTGAACAGAGCCAAGATTTTTTAACTGAAGTACTGAAATTTTTCAACAAACCATTCAGAAAGTATTTGGTTAATGTAGAACTTAGTTTCCAATAACATGTTCTTCCCATGAAAGCAGTTATAATGAAACCAGCATGATAAAACTTCATATTAATCTAAGATTAATCTAAATCATATTAATCTAAATCAGCATAATATAATATCTTAACATACATACATCACCTGGTCTTCTGTGCACATTCTTAATTATAGTTCAGTAAGTGACTTGGAATACGAAATTCCCAAAGCAACAGAATAGCTTCTAAGCTGCTGATAATGGACAGAGACAAGAAATCTGATGCTATTAAAAAACAGTGAAGTCATTATGCACTATAATTATAAAACGGCAAATACTGTTTTTGTGAACTAATTGTGAATTAAGAGTAGTTTTTCTGGGAAAAGGAACTTAAGTCTCGCTGAAAGGCAGCAAAGTCCTTGCATCATTTCTGCTACTGAGGGCTGGACTCCTAACTGCTTCTGTGACAAGATCTCTAGGTCACTGTGGTGCTTTTGAAAATTCTACCCCAGACTATATCTGAATGAGTTTCATTTTGGCACACAGCTCTCTCTGGCCATTCCATGTGTCCATAATTCTTGTTCTCACACTATTAATGCATCCAGTGGAAGTGCTTCTCTATCAAATATAAAGCACTCTCTTTCACTGACCTTGGTAGGGCTGGCTGGAGTGATAAACACCGTGTTTTGCTGTCAAAGCTGTATGCCAAACCCAATTATTTTAGATAAAAAAATAGTATTTTATAAGTCTATAGCCAAAGTGTATTCATTTTCCCATAGAATGTATGATACTAACAGCAGTTTCTCATTTACTTGTTGTGAAGATGAGCAATTAAAAACAAATTTTCCTGAAGCTCTACATGCTTAGTCTAAGGGGAAACCAAAGCCAAGATTGCTATAAATTAAGTCTGTAATACCTACATTTATTTTTCACATTCCCTTTTCATGTTCTTTTCCCTTCTAAAGGAAGCTTTCTAGAGGTTTGCTCTAATTTAATATACTTATCATCGACTCTGCCAATCCCAAAGCAAATTTGAATAAGGCCGCAAGAGTTACCAGGAGTGAATCTCTTGTGGTGCCAGTAACATTTCTATAAAGATATACTGTCACTGCTAGATGCCCAAATTCACATGCTTGGAAGCCCACAGATCCTGAATAACTCTTGGCCTTATACAAGAGCTCTTAGAAAATTCTCCAAATAGGATAATGTGGATATGCATGCATGGGTGTGCACACGTGTGTGCCCATGGCCCACATGGCTTCTCCATTAAACCCCTGAATTTTGGAAACTCTACATAAGACTTGTTGGAAGAAGAAGGACACAKCTGGCAGCCAGTAGCAAAAGCACAACTGCTTGTGGTCCTCTGGAAGGGGTAGCCTACCTCAAAACACTCCCATCATTATTCGGAAAGCCTGGGATGTGAGGAGACCACTTACTCCAAAAGCATCACATGGTTAAGAGTGTAAAATTTTCCAGTTAATAATTGGACTACAGTCTATAAAATTAAGGTCCTATATGGCTGATATATGAGAGAACACTGTCCAGTCGAGTATAAAATAATTTAGAGTTGACAGTTAATCTGAATCTGTGATTGAAACTTACCCTCTAACTCGCATATTATCTGGGGTAATTACATTACTAAAGATCACAGAGCTTTACATGTGGCTGCAAGTTGCTCAGAGCACACACATTTGTTTAAGTCACGGGCTTGCTGGTAGATACATACATCAAGGGGCATCTCTTCCTTTTCCATTCCCCCTCACTCGTTCCCTGCTAGGCTCTGTGAAACAGAGTAATTGCACTGTGGTTCCTCCTGCTGAGCCTGGCAAGGATGCCTTTTTGGTCATATACCTGCTTGGGTTTTTATCTTTTGCCTCTCCGGTCAAGTTCTTGCTCTGTCTCATTAGTTGTTCCATACAAGCAAGCACAAACCAGATGGCCACAACCATCAGTCTGTGTTAGATTTATGCTCGGAACAGAGAGGTGGAAGGTTCTCGGACCTGCTGCTAACCCCCAGGGCCATTAAACCACCTCCTCCACCGTGCTCCTACTTCTCTTCGTACCGTTCTTCGTGCTGGCATGTGCAGAGGCAACCCTGTGCAAACACATTCTTTTATCCCCAGCTTCAGGGCATGCACAGAAGAGCTTTTACACAAGAGTCACCTCCAAGCTGTGGGAGGCTACTCTTTTTTTTTATAATCAGTATTTATGTCCCACTTCCTGGCCACCTAGTGCTCCCAGCAGCCTTGTGGCTCCTTCYCACCTTCCTCTGTCTTTCCTCAGCTTCCTTGTCTCATCCTCCACTTTTTATTCATTTCCTCAGCACTCCCCAGATGTTTCCTTATTTCCAGCCATTTCCATATTTCCAGCCCATCTGTGTTAATCAGTCTTCTGAACCTTCCTGGAAGCGCTACCCAATCTATTGGATATTGSCTGGAAGGATGTTGGGTGAGCACGATGGGACTGAGCCAAAATCCTGACAGGCTTTGCAGCCTGTACCCAGGCAAACAGTCTTTGTCCCAAGGCTTCAYCCAACCATCTATCATCTTAACAACCTCGGGGAACTTATTAATCACAATTCTTACATCTATTTTCTTTCTTTAGTAACTGAAAAGCAGTTCTTGATAGGGTAGGACTACTGCTACCAACCAACAGGACCTTCACAGCAGTGCACCGTCTTTTCACTTCAACCTAAAAGAGTCAATGTTCTTGTAGTATAGCAAAACACACAAAAATGCCCTGGAGAACTTAATGAAGACAATACCCTCAGAGCTCACTGGCCCTTTGGATTGTTTTCATCCCTCCAACTCAGTCTCCACTGGCMGAATACAACCGATTGACCCATAGCACTGAAAAAGAATGTTTTAGCTGAAGGAAAGCAGATATGGAAACCTCTGGCAGGGAAGAGCAACTAAACCCAGGCCCGACTGTTTTCATATTAACCTGTAAAAAGTATCTTTTCTATGAAGCTTTCCATCATGTCCAGTGCTCATGATAGGAAGATGGAAAAAAAAAAAAGGAAAAAAAAAGCTAAAATAAAAAGATTTTTAATAAGAAAAACATATTCTTCTGGCTCAGTATTGGAAACAGAAGAAGAAAAAGATTTCCTTTTTTTCTATTTTGTTCTGGATATTTGTATGCCAAAGTCTTGTATGCAGAGCAACAGGCACTGTATAAAACCCACCTGATGCTAAGCGAGTTGGATTGCATTTTGCTCAGTCTGTTTTCATTATCAGAAATTTCCACTGGTAAACAGCCTTCCTCCTGGCCCTACTGCAGCATCGGTGCAGTTTTCCTTCCTGCGTTGCTTAGCTACACCAGTCCCACAACACCAGAGTCTCACTGAATGTAAAATGTGTTTGTAGCTTTTGAAGCCCTATCAAATAGAAATCCTTAGCACCAGACTCCTAAGAAGTTATGTTACCTTTTTTTTCCCCCACCTTTTTTTTTTTTTTTTATTTTGGTGTCACCACACAGATGGCTTCTTTCATGCATCCTATCACTCAATCTGCAGTAAAATACACAGACCCTTATGAGCTT